CTAAGACGTACAGACAACTAACAGAAATATATGACTGAAAACCATTCTCCAATAGATTAATGGATATGCACAAAGTTCTCAAGGGAATTGCATTCTATCTGTCTGTCCCCCATGCCTGTAATGCTCTCCCTCCTCCGCTCCAACTTCTGATTTCCTTTAAGTCCCAACCAAAATCTCATCTTCTAAAGGAAGCTTTCCCCACCTCTTCCTAATTCCAGTGCCTTCCCTCTGTTAATTATCTCCTATTTTTCCTGTATATAGCTTGATGCATTTGTATATATTTGTTTGCATGCTTGACACATAGTAGGCACTTAATGAATGTTTGTTGATTGATTCTTTCATATTATTGTTAATATGTAAGTCAGTAAGGTGGGGATGATTAATATTTCTCTAATTTTGTGAGAAGACTGAATCTGCTTATATTATATCACAACCTTACATCAAATATTCCATTATTTTGAGTTATTTTGCACAGTAGAAAGGTCCTACATACACCAAAACTGTTTATTGTAGCATTTTTGGAGAAACAAAGTAGATGTCCATCAGTTGATTGGGGATTATTACTGTACTGTAAGAAATGACATAGATGATGAATAGAGAGAAGCATGGGAAGACATGAAGTACAAAAGGGGAAGTAAAAATAAGCAGGGCCAGGAAAACAATATGCACTATGAAATCAATGACATAAACAGAAAGGAAAATAACCACAAAACAATTGAAAATGAGTGGTAAGAAATTATAAAGAATAAGCTTGGCCCCAGAGAAGAGATACGGGAAGACCCCTCTCTTCACTTTCCCCTCCATCTGTTGCTTTTTTGTTAAGATGGTGGTGAAACATGGCATATAAAGTCAGATTTTGTATTGATTGGTTTTGCTGAAAATTTCCTCCTCTTTTACTTCTTTCTCCTTTTAAAAATTGTTTTTGACATAAATGATGGGATATCATAAAAGAATCAAGGCAGAAAGAGGATTGTAAGGGGGAAACCAGATAAAGTAGTATCCATAAAAATTTACTAAAAATAACTCATGCTTGGGATTGTTATGTAATACCCTTAATACTACTGCAAAAGCCAGACAACTCTTTTACTCTCTTTTTCCAGAAATATAACCTTTAAATCATATTCAAAAATCACTTGCCTTCTGTGTTTATACTGCATTCTTCTCTGAAAGTCTCTACTAGCTATTCTTCAATCATGTCCCTTTTTGGCATAAGGCTATCACACATATTTAATAATACTCTGGAGCTTCATATTCCTTTAAGTTATTTTTTTGTGCATTGTGAATTTATGAGTACTAATTGAGAGCATTGTCTCTAAGCTGCTTTAGAAGAGGAAGTTTCCTCACTAGGGAGTTTCCTAAACCTATGTAATCACAGGTCAGGTCCAGACACAGAATTAAATGCCTGCTATGTCCAGGGCACTTTGGCTGGGCAGTCAGCCAATATGCATTTATTAAATGCCATGTGTCAGGCATTGGGAATACAAAGTCAGAAATGAAGTGGCTCCTGCCCTCAAGGAGTGATGGTCTATTAGGAAAACAACACATAGCCATATAAATGTATATAAAATATATACAAGGTAATTTTGCATTATGAGAGCTACAAAACAATGCATAAAGTAATCCTACTCTTAAAGAGTTATATTATTTAGTATTATTTAGTTGAGGAGATGATAATCATAATTGAGAATTAAAAATAGAACAGGATATGATAAGTGGTACAGAAAATTATGGCAATAGAAATGGAGAAGGAGAGAGCACACTGGATTGGGGAGGGGTCAAGAATGGCTTTTAGAGGAGGTGGTCTTGAACAGGTCCTTTAAATGTGAATATTATTTGGAAAGGTGGAGAGAAGTGGAACTAACCAGAAACATCATTGGCAAGAATGTCTAAGACCTGCTTAAGGAACCAAGAGGTCTGACTTGAACATAAGATTAATGACACCCACCTCTTCCCTCAATAAACTCCAGTGGCTCCCTGTTATCTCTAGGACCAAAGATCAACTCCCCCTGTTTATCATTTAGAGCTTGTCACAATCTAGCCCCTACCTACCTTTCCAGTCTCTTTAAACACTACTCCCCTCCATGAACTCTACAATTCTGCCATCCTGACCTGTTTGCTCTTTTCCATACATGATGCTCCATTTCTCTTCCTTGCTCCTTTGCACTGGCGGCCTCTCACCCCCTCTTCAATGCTTGGAATGTTGCCCCTTCTCAGTTTGGCTTCTTACAATTCCAGCTTCCTTTAAGACTCAGCTCAAAGACCTACTGGAACCCTTTTCGAGCTCCTCAAGTGCTGCTAGGACCTTCTCCTCTTTGGTTACCTACAGTGTATTTTGTATGTCTGTTGTTTGTACCTATTTATGTACATTTTGTCTCCCCCAAGCTCCTCGAGGGCAGGAAATAATTCTATTTTCATTTGTATTGTTGGTGGCACAATGCCTATGTCAGGCACAAGGCCTGACAAATGATAAACCTCTCATAAAAGCTTGTTGATTGATTAATATTGCAGAATAGTGAGAAAGCAGTTTAAAAAGGCAGCTTGGAACTTCATTGTGTAAGGCCATGAATAAGGAGTTTGGATTTTATCATATAGGCAAGGGGTGGCCATTGAAGGTTTTGGAGGAGGGAAATACTAAAAGTGTTAAAGTGGCTAAAGTGTTAAAAGTGGTGTTTCATTAGGTTTATGATGCCAGGCTATGATATTAGGGGTGTACTTGCTGACAGCTTGATGTAGAAAAAAAGAAGCTTCCATTTTGATTGCAGCCTAGCAATGTGAAAAGGGCAGCAGAGTCGGAAAGATATTCTTAGTATGAAGAGTTATCAAGTACCAAGTTTCATAGCATAATTTTTTGTGAAGAACAAAAAAAACTCTTAATTTTTCTCACTCTCTAATTAGGATGAATAACTAGTATTAAGCTACCTATAAAGTAAAAAGGCAGAAAAAGGGATAGAGGTCTTGGGCATCTAACTTTTTATTCAGATTTTGAGATCAAATTTAAGAATATTTAAGTCAGTAAACTGTGGATGATTAATATTTCTTTAATTTTGTGTTACGATTGAACACATTTATATTGTCATAAATTTATATCAAATATACCATTATTTTGAGTTATTTTGCATATATAGGTACATTTACACAGCTGTCTATCTTATGCCAGGTAATCTTTATTGTTCAGTATTTTTAATTAAAAAGTTATTTGAAATCACATTTTCTATACATCATTATGTTATAATATTGTTAAAATGTTTTAATGAGTAGGCATTCTTGGCACCTACATATTGAGGGGGCAGAATGTACCAATATGATGCAAATATTGATACTGTTTTGACCTTTAGGTGTTCAAATGTGTTACATGGTGCAGCATGTTCCAGATGCTAGTCTTGAGAACCTCTGTACTATAGTATAGTTCTAAATCTGGTGAAAAGTTAGGGATGATAAATGAATAAGAAGCATTATATTGCTATTATATAGAAATTTGTACACGTTATTTTGCTGAATATCACATCCATGAAAACCTTAATCCAAAAAAAATCACAGTTATTTTAATAAGTACTGTAATGTACAAAGCTAGGAAATTTGTATTTTAGTGGTATGTGTAGGGATTTATATGTGCACATATATATGTGTGTGTGCTTTCAATTTAAGTACTCTTCTGGATAGTGAATGTGAGCAATGTGAGAACTTATTTCAGGATTAAGAAATATAAAAATCAGGATTTTAGTAATGTGATAATAGGTGTGCTATAGGGGTAAAAAAAGGACAGAAATATATTTCTAATTGGAACTGAGTTTCTTTCAAATATAAATTAAATATATATTTTAGGTCATTACAAGGTTTTTCTATTTCTGCAAATCTACAAAAATGTTAGCATAGAACTTTTTGACTCTAAATTTTTTTGTCTTAATTTTTATTTGTACATAAAATTTCATACTAAAAATCTTGATGATTTTTCCTTATGTGTATAAACTAAGCGTAGCATCTTTATAAACGTTTGTACATTACCTCCCAAAACACAGTGTTTTTAATTCTTGTATGTTCTGTGTAACCTCATGCCAGTTACTTGACTTTTGTTTGCCTCAGTTTCCTCAGCTATAAGAGGGGGATGTTAATAGTCCCTACCTCCCAGGGTTATTGTGAGAATCAAATGAGATAATATTTGTAAAGTTCTTAGTACAATGCCAGGCACATAGATGGTGCTATATAAATGTTAGCTATTTTTGTCCTGTACGCAGCTAAGTTTCTTCTTAATTCTCTACATACAATATAATTATCTTCTCATAGAATCATAGATTTAGAACTGGAAAGGAAGGTGGAGGGCAGTCTAAACCCCTTCATTTTAAAAACAAGGAATCTGAGATCCAAGTATGTTAAGTGATTTGCCCAAGATCACATAGGGCCAGAGACAGGATTTAAATCCATGTCCTGTGATTGCAGATTCATTCTCAGGTGCTTTGATACCTCTTTATTTCGGTTTTTTTAAAAATCATATTACTAACACTTTAAAGTGAATTACTTTACCAAATCTTTTAAGTGACTCGCCCAAGGTCATCACAGAGTAGTAAGTAGCCAAACTAAGATTCAGACCCAGGTCCCCTGATTCTAAATCTACCATTCTTTTCACTACACTGTATTACCATACATCACAGTCCCTGCTGTGTACTGCATATGTCCATTTGTTCAGCATCATTTATATTGCCAATGTCGATTTTTTATTCTCCTCTATTATTCTTCCAAAAAGGGGAAGGTTCAGTTTCTGTTTTTCCACTTTTATAAAATGCCTAACATAATGCCTATGATTGAAAATAATTGAATGATGAATGATTGGTCAGGGGCAGGAAAATGGCATATTATAGATTTTTAAATGTGCCATTCACTTTTTTAAAGAACGTATTTGTCCAAACTCTTTCCAAGTTAGTTGGATGGAATTATGGGAGGGAAGAATCTGTGCTTTTTAAAAAGCTTCATGATTATTTAAATCTTAAAATAATTTTGTTATGCAGTTCCAGAACAACAGCTACTCAACGTCGAAGACTGTGATCTCAACGTGGTAAGACTCTGTTTCCAAGTTTTCCTTCTTGATGAACATGGCAATTTAACATCAGCTCTTCCTCCTGTCGTCTCCAATCCAATTTATGATAATCGTAAGTACTTATTTTCTATCTTGTATTATAGCCTCAGCTTGTTTTCTTGAAGTTTAATTTGGAATTGTGAAATTTTCATAATTTTAATTAATGCTGGATAGATATATGCGTTACACCAAATTAGATTTTTATTCATGGTTAGGTAACAGGAATCAATTGATTATTGTTAGCTGTATCTTTTGCTTCATCAATTGGAAATGGGGGCATTGTTCAGTGTTATTACGAACTCTGAGAAGCTAAAAGTTATTTCTATCTATACCCTCTCAAACAGGTGGGGATCTATTGTGGTTTTGAAGTTCTTTAGGAAATAAATTTCTATAATCTTCATTGATTACATGCCATAATACTTAATGATCCTTTCTATTAAAGACCTCGTGCCTTCCGTGCCTATTCGTGCCTCCTGACCTATATGCCGGTTACCTCAGCTCTGCAAGAGCTTTAAGGGAATGATCTATCCATGTAGTGAAAAGATCATTGATGAAAAGAAGAAAAAAGGATAGGAAGCTTTTGTCCATTAGTTTCCATATCAGATCATATTTTTCAGTCATACACTGTATGTGAGAGAGTTGTAGAGAAGAAAGATCCAACTGGGTTTGGTTTTTGCTTATTAATAAACAAAAAACCATATGACAGAATTTCTAAGAGTTTGGAGGGGCCCTTGGAGGCCATCTGGTCTAAACAATGGCTAAATGATCCCTTTGGTGACATTCTTAGCAATCGCCATCCAGCTCTTCAGCCTTTGCTGAAAGACCCCAAGTAAGAAGGAGTTCATGTCCCCTTGGATAGCCCATGTCACTGCACCCAGAGCCAGAGGATCTGAGCACTGATTCCTCCCTTTGTCCTTAGTACCTATGAAGCCACAGATGAGTCTCTTCCCTTCTTTGTGTCTTGGTTTTCTTATTTATAAAAATCAAAGTGTCTCTTCCAGCCTTAGGGGTCAAGGATTGTTTTTCTTAGATCAAGCCTATTTACCTTTGCACCTGGAGTTTTCATCTGCCATTTCTTGTTCTGTTCTCTTGTTCTAAGCAGGACAAGTCTATTACTTTTCCACCTGACTGTTCTTCAGGTACTTGGAAAGAGCTTTCATGTTCCCCCTGAGCCTTCTCTTCTACAGATTAAAAATCCTCAGTTCCTTTAACTCTGCGGTTGTTAATGTTTTTTGTGACATGAACTCCTTTGGCAGTCTGGATAAGCCTATGGACTCCTCAGTATGGTGTTTTTAAGTGCATAAAATAAAATACATAAGATTACAAAGGAAATTAATTACAGTGAAAGGTAGTTATCAAAATATGTATTTAAAAAACCAGTCAATCAAGTTCAGAGATCCCAGGTTAAGAACTCTTGCTTTAACTGAACCTCTTATAAATTCAAGGACCTTTACCTGTAATGTTGTTGTTGAGTTATTTTTTAGTTGTGTCTGACTCTCTGTGACCCCATTTGGGGTTTTCTTTGCAAAGTTCCTGGAATGGTTTACCATTTCCTTCTCCAGCTCATTTTACAGATGAGGAAACTAAGGCAAACTGGGTTAAGTGACTTGCCCAGGACCACACAGGTAGTAAGTATTTGAGGCCAGATTTGAGCTCTGGAAGATGTCTTCCTGATTCCAGGCCTGGCACTCTATATACTGTACCACCTAGTTGCTCTTCACCTATAGTAGACACACTGCTTGTCAGTGTCCTTCCTAGAATGTACGTATATATAAAAGGGAGCATACTAGCAACAATGACATGTGTCAGAAATGACACTGAAGAATTTATTTCATCCAGGAAGTATATGATCAGAAAAAGAAGTGAATTGGTCTTGTAGTTAGAGTGAAGGATAACAGATGGACAGCCCACACTCTGCATTGATATCTTTGAAACATAGACCTGGAGAGTGATGTCCACCCTTTGGGGTAGATCCTCTATGGTGCATTTATGGGTAGAGGGATTAGACACACAGAATTTGAAGGTGTAGGTGAGTTGTAATCTTTGTGGTTGAGGAAGCAACCATCTCTATGAGATCACAGATCCATTGAAATATCAATTATATACTAATAAAATGGAGATTCAATGTAATTTAACAAGCATTTATTAAACACCTACTACTAGTCGGTTTGTTTCAAACACAGTAATGGAAACACAACATGGCCCTTGCCTTAAAGTGTTTACAGTCTAGTAAGGGGCATATACTAAGTGCACAATTAATTATGAAGACAAGGTAAAATATAATGGGGCAAAGGAAAGATCGAAAGTGCTTTAGGAGAATTTGAGGAGGGAGAGGTCAGCTTTACCTGGGGAGAGATTAATGGTAGAAGCAGTTCTTGACCTGGCCCTTGAAAGAAGAGGAGAATTCTACTTCAATTCTAATTATGTGAACTCCTTGAGGGCAGGACAATGTTTCCTTTTTATCTTTGTCTCCCTAGCCTGTAACACAGTACCTTGCATCTCGTAAGCATCTAATAATGTTTGTTGAATTGAATCAGATTTGTTGATTTCAACAGGAAGAGAGGAAGAAGTTTATTTTTGGCAAGGATCAGTAACCCACTTGAATTCATGGAAAGAAAAGAAAGCAATAAGTAGTTTAGCCAGTTTATAGCCAATTTAGTTCAGTTTAGCCAGAATATAGTGTGTGAAATATGGCTAGAAATGGCCTGCTTGGAGTCAGATCGTGACAAGCTTTACATCCAGGGTGGAGACATAATTTATTCCAAGTATAAAGGAGATCCAGATGAATGACATAAAGTCATGGTCAGATGTGCGCATTAGGAAGATTATTGTAGCAAACGTGTGAAGGACAGGTTGAAGAAGGGAGAGAATTGGAGGCAAGGTGGTGGCCTTAGGTGGAGAGGAAGAGGCAGATAAAAGAGACATTGTGGATGTAGAGCTGCCTGAATGTGGAGACTGCTGGGCCCTGTGGAGAGATGGGGAGGGAAGAAACAGAGGACTCAAGCTTGAAAATTGTGTAATGAGAAGGATGGTGACATCAACAGATTTAGGGAAGTTGGGAGGAGTGCAGGCCGACAGTAAACGATGATGTGATCATTTCTGGACTTTCTGGATTGGATTGCCAGCCAGACATCCAGATAGAGATGTGTCCTGCCAATGTAGATACTTCATTGGTGTCCAGGGAGAAAGATGGGGGAGATGTCTACATTTAAGAGTTATCTGTCTAGAGGTGATCATGGAAGTCACAGGACTGGAGGAGCACATGACCTAGCAAAGGACACGAACAACAAGGAATCTGAGATGGAGGAAGTTCAGGAGAAAGCTGTTTGATAAACAATATTCAGAAAGGAGAAAGGGCGATCAGCAGTGTCAGATGCTGCAGACGAAGAGTAAAGAGAAAGAGTTGGCAGTGAAGAAGTCATTGGTGAATTTGGTGATTGCAGCTTCAGTGGTAGTCAGAGAGAGTCCTTTTAAGTGGATTGCGTGCTTGTGAGGAATGCATCAGATTCAGGGGATATGGACTGCTCTTTTTTATAGGAAAGATCTGAGCTTTATTATAGTCAGCAGGGAAGGAGCTGTAGAGGGGAGGGAGCATGGAAAGAAGGGGAAGGGGGGAAAGAGACACAGAGGGGTTAATGTTGGTAAGGAGAAGAGACGCCTTGTTAACTGAAACTTGAGCACGGGAGAACCGAAAAGAAAGTTTGAGATAGGAGGCAAGTTTTGGACTGGCAGCCTCTGAGGCGTCTTCCAACTTTGCTGCAAGAAGCCTTTCCTAATTCCCCTTCATGTTATTGCCTTCCCGCTCTGATTACCTCCACTTTACCCTGAACACATCTTGTTTGTATATGGTCATTTGCATGTCATCTCCCATTAGAATGTGAGTTCCTTGAGGCCAGGGACTGTTTTGTTACCTTTGATTGCCTAGTGTTTAGCATGGTGCCTGGCACATAGTAAAGCATTTATTGAAGGCTTCCTGTGTGCTAAGTGCTGGGGACACACATTCATCTGTGACCTCAAGGGATTTGTGCTCTAATAGGATAGAACACATACGTAAGGTAGGAGTGGCTGGAGTCCTGGGGCACTTTGGTCCAGAATGTTGTTAGAAGGATGATGAGAGTTGGTTTTAATGTAGTGCTAGAACTGGCGGGGAAGCTGAGCGGGAAGAGTATTCCAGCGGCAGCTTGAAGGCTGCCGGCAGAGTTAAGAATAAGACCAGAGAGCAAAGTCTGAAGTGAAGAGTGGTTAAAGTCTCCCCAAAAGAGTGAGCCAAGTAAGACAGTGACCAAAAAGGACATTGGGGCACCAGGGCAGAGATCTGGGAAATGAAAAGATTAAGTAAGCCCAAGTAAGAAGCAAGATTATTTGCTTAGAGAAAGCGTGTGTGGGGACTTGAGGACAAGGTTTAGAGTAGTTACCATGGGGAATGTGACAGAAAGAGGTGAATGAAAGGAAGAAATAAGCATTTATTAAGCACCTACTACATGCTAGGCACTGCACTAAGTTCTTTTTGTTCTTTTTTTTCTTTTTGTTTTTTTAAAATTTTTTACAGTTCTTTTATTTGTTTATTTTTAGTTTGCAACATTCACTTCCACAAGATTTTGAGTTCCAAGTTTTCTCCCTATCTCACCCCTCCCCTCACCCCAAGACAGCATGCATTCTGAATTCCCCTTCACCTAATTTGCCCTCCCTTCTGTCATTCCCCCCCCCCAATCTCCTTCCCCTTCTATTTTGCTGTAGGGCAGGATAGATTTCTATACCCCATTGCCTGTATGTCTTATTTCCCAGTCACTGCACTAAGTTCTTTACAAATATCTTATTTGATCCTCATAACAACCTTGGGAGGTAAGTGTTATTATTCTCCCCATTTTACAATTGAAGAAATTGAGGTAGACAGAGGTTAAGTGACTTGCCTAGGACATACAGCCAGTGTCTGAGTCTGCATATGAACTCAGGTCTTCCTGACTTCATGCCCAGTGCTGTATCTCCTGCACCACCAAGCTGCTTCTGGCATCTAAATCTTAATGGATTCTAAATCTAAATGGATTCTAAAGCAATCTAAAAAGGTTTGTTCTG